TTTATAATGGATATTTCGTAACCCTATTTAGCATTCAAAACAATTGTATAAAAAATGTAAACTCTAACTCTATTAATCGCTTCCACATTTAATTTATGAATTTATTTATATTTAAGTTTCGAACCTTTACATATTATCTTATACTGTTAACTATACAATAATTGTAACGGCCCCGGAAATATTAAAATGAAATGAGTATTTAAATATATCAAATGCGGAAGCGAGATCAAAATTTCAGTTAACATCTCTTACACGAAAACCAAAAACGTACTTAAATTATAAAAGGTTAAACTAACTAAAAGAGAAACTCGAAAACAAAGCTATGAGTATGACTACGGAGTCTCTAGGCATCCCTTTCGTCGTCCTCCTGCGGAACGGGCTCGGGAACCATGTCTTCCTGATCTGAAATGGTTAAATAAGGAGTGAGCTACACTAGCCCAGTAAGAACATCACGATATCTCACCGTCACGAAGGTAAAGGTGGGTAGAAAATACAAAAAGACCAATGGAGCATAATTTACAACAGACTCGTTTATTAACATAAAAACCTTTACCATCCACTTACCTCGGTGGAATTTATGAAAACAATCTAAGAAAAACAATAACATTATCATAATCATGGAATAATATAAGCTGTAAAACATGACACTTATCACGCCTCTTGTAATTCAATCATTATACAACATATCTTTTTCTCATTTACCAGCCTACTAGTATCCGTGGGGGTCCATAGGGGTCCCGCTACCCGTTAACCTTTAACATTCATAATCAGTTTCCAGGGCCGTCCCCATACCCCGTCCGGTATGGGCGCCAAAACCATAAACTTCAATACCCCGTCCGGTATGAGGGTGAAACGGGCCGTCCCCATACCCCGTCCGGTATGGGCTCCAAAACCATAAGATCTCCATACCCCGTCCGACATGTGATACCACAATCCCGGTAAGGTTCCCTACGGACCCGATCCGTCCACCATCTCCCAGGATATCTAGTCAGGCTGACCCCCATAATACAATTATCAGTCTACACAATCTTTCATTTTCCTTTTCCTCAGTCAGCATCATCAATTCACATTTAAACAAGCAAATCGTAATTCATGCCAAACAGACAACATACAGTATCAGTTTTTCAGTCATTCAACCCATAATTAATAAAAAACGTAGTATATGCACACAAATCTGTAAAATGAACACATCAAACCTCATTTTGCATTTAAAGCTGTAAACAGGCCAAATAACAGTAAATCACCAATCACACTAGACTCGGGCTCCATTAGCCACCTTAAGCAATTTCACACATTCGTTAATTCAAGAAATACCGTTTTATCATTTTGAACTTTAATACCGTGATAGGAAATAGGGTGAGGGGTCCTTACTCGTTTCAGGGTCCCAACACGGCTTCACAGTGCGCTTACAGGCTGTCCTTAATTTTCCCTGAATTTTTTCCGGGGAACTGAAACACACTAACAGTACCTGCACGTGTTCCAAAAAAAACCCAAATTAGGCCCAGGGCCTCTTTCGGCCCAAATCGCAACTCCGGCATGGCGGCTCCGCCGTGCTCCGGCGATGGCGCCAGCGCCTGGGGTTGGCTGTTTTCGGCCGTTTTCGGCCGAATTCGACCACACTCGCATCGGTCCTTGTGAGAAAACAACCCCAGGGCCCTCGGGGGGCCAAAAAATCACGGAAAAACGGAGCTTACCGGCGGCGGCGCTCTCGGGTGCGACGGCTCTCCGGCGAGGTTCGTGTTTTGGTGATTCGGCTCCGGTCAACCTGTAGAGAAAAGAATGGTGATCACGGTGATATAAAAATTGCATCGAACGGAGGCCGGGAAGGGCCTCGTCGGAGGCAAAAACCGAGAGGGGACGCGGCGGCGCCGCTGGGCTTCGGCCGCGTATTCCGGCCGTTTGGCCGGGATTTCGGCCTCGATTTGGCCATAGGAGGAATCAGCGTGGAAAAACGAGTCGGGGGTATAAAATTTACCTCGATCGGCGGTCGGAAATTTCCCCGGTGCGGCGGCGGGTGGCGGCGGTCGGCCTCTGGTTCGTCTTCTCCGGCGAGCGGCGGGCGGCTAGGGTTTGTGGTCTGGTGTGGGGGTTCTATTTATAACCCCTTGCCTTTTGATCTCAGCCGTCCATT